CTGCAAGAAACCCAAAGGGATCTACATAAATGGAAAAACATACCATGCTCATGGATAGGCAGACTCAACATTGTGAAAATGACAATTCTACCCAAATCAATTGACAAATACAACGCAATCCTGATCCAAATACCAACAACATTCTTCAAAGAGATGGAAAAACTAATTATTAGCTTTATATGGAAAGGGAAGAAGCCCTGAATAAGTAAAGTACTACTGAAGAAGAATAAAGTTGGAGGACTCACACTACCTCACTTCAGAACCTACTGTACAGCTACAGTAGTCAAAACAGACTGGTACTGGTACAACAACAGATACATTGACCAATGGAACAGAATTGAGAATCCAGATTTAAATCCATCCACCTACGGTCACCTGATCTTCAACAAGGGTCCAAAGTCCATCAAATGGGGAAGAGACAATCTTTTTAACAAATGGTGCTGGCAAAACTGGATATCCATCCGCAAAAAAATGAAACAGGACCCATACCTCATACCGTATACAAAAACTACTTCAAAATGGATCAAAGACCTGAATATAAAGCCAAAAACTATAAAGTTCATAGAAGAAAAAATAGAACCAACAGTTCAGGCTTTAATACATGGCATTAACAGGATACAAACCATAACCATCAACGCGTGAACCCCAATAGATAAGCTAGATAACTGTGATTTTCTAAAAATCAAACACCTATGCTCTTCAAAAGACCTCACCAAAAGAGTAAAAAGACAACCTACAGATTGGGAAAAAATTTTTGGACAGTGCAAGTCAGACAAAGGTCTAATGTCCATAATCTACAAGAAAATCCAACACCTCTACAACAAAAAGACAAATAATCCTATTAAAAAAGGGCAAAGGAAATGAACAGACACTTCGCCAAAGAAGACATTCAAATGGCCAATAGACACATGAGGAAATGCTCGGGATCACTAGCCATTAAAGAAATGCAAATTCAAACCACAGTGAGATACCATCTCACCCCGGCATTACTGGCATGAATTAAAAACACTGGAAATAACAAATGTTGGAGGGGCTTCGGGGAGATGGGAACTCTTATGCACTGCTGGTGGGAATGCAAAATGATACAACCATTTTGAAAAATGATACGGCGCTTCCTCAGAAAGCTAGAAATAGATATACCATTCAATCCAGCAATCCCACTCCTAGGAATATATCCTAGAGAAATGAGAGTCATCACTCGAATAGACATATGCAC